TCCTGCTCGGTTATTTCTTTACAGCCCCTGAGTCAGCCTTCTGTTGTGAAAGCCTGTCCCCCCACGGCTAGATTCTTTGGGGCAAGAGGGAAGCCAGCCATCTGTGGAGCAACAGTCCTGCCCAGGGTGCAGCCTCCAGGATGATTCTCAGTCCCCCCGGCAGTGGACTGAGCGCCAGGAGGCCAGGTCTGCATCCTGGGGCTGCCACTGGTGACTTGGGAAACTGGGCACGACATTCAGTTCCTTCTCTGTAAGATGGAGATAATACCAGGTAAGGCTGCTCTGATGATTAGAGACCATGGAGTGAAGTGTCAGGGAAATGGAAAACGTTTGTGAGGCATTTGTGTTTCGGTCTTGCTTCCTAAGGGAACATTCCTTGATCACCAGCTTCAGCCCAGGTGGGAGTTTGTGAGAAATGCGGGAACTCGGGCCCCACCCCAGGTGTCCTGAATGGGATCTTAACAAAATTCCCAGGTGATTCGAATGCACCCCTTGCCCTTCTTCAGGATCTTGCCTCTTCCCAGGGAGCTACAGGTTCTGCCCAGGCTACTGCTGCTGCCATAGGGGGGCTGCCTTGCCCCAGCTCCCCCTGAGCCAGTGCGGGGGCAGCCTTGGACGGGTGAGGGGCTGAGGAAGGGAGCTGGGCCATGCTGGGCAGAGGCGTGGCGCACAGCACCAAGGCCAGGAAGGTGGCTAGCTGCTCTTTGAGAGGCAGCGTCCCCTGCTCAGCCTCAAGCAGGGGGCTCCCGTGCACCAGTGAGCGCAGGCCGCGGCTGCAGACCAGCCAGAGTGAGGGCCGGCTCAGTCTCACCCTTACCCCAGATGTCACGAAGGAGGCTGCACATTAGGAAGGCTGGGAGTGGACCTGGGACCAGACCAGGCCAGCTAAGGGCACTGAGTGGTTACAGGGCAAGGCCACAGGATGGCAGGAAGTGGTTAGCCCAGGGACCAGGCGCAGTCTCGGTGGAGAGCCATGGCTAGCCTCTCATCCCTAGCTGGCTCCGGGCCCCAAGCCGTTGCTTGGTGGGGAGGGTTGGCCATTGCACTGAGCCCTGCCCGAGGCTGCCTGCCTTCACTCTACTCAAGCTGGCTGCTAGCAGGGCAGGAGAGGGGTTAGCATGCAGCACACCCTCATTCTCCAGAGTCTCCAGAGCTGAGCAATGACCCTCCCACGCCCGAGACAGGACCTGGGGGCAGGGCCTAGGGGAGGTCTTAGCACCCCCAATGCCTGGCTTCCCTTCCCTTTCCAGATACTGAGGAAGCTGGGTTTGAGGTGGACAGTGAGGGTCGGGGGAGGCAGAGAGCCATTTCCTGAGAAGAGCCCAGGCTGTCTCAGCCCAGGGAAGCCGGTTTGAGGAGCTGTTCCATTGCGGGGATGATGGAAATGGGGGGTCACGGCAGGGCTTGGGAATTAGGGACTGGTTAAGCGGGGCCCAGGGGTGCAGCACCCTCCAAACTGGTGTCAGAGCCCGCAGATGAGTCCTGGGAGGTGCGGCCCTGCAGGAAGCGGATGATCTTCTCGATGGTGGCCTCCTGGTACTCGTGGGACCACCTGTGGGTGCAGAGGCTGGTGGGTCAGAGGGCTGGGCAGAGGGAGCTGCTGGCTGGGGGCCTGTGTAACCCGCCCCGCCCCTCCTCACTTGATGCCATTGAAGGTGAGCACAGCCTGCATGTCCTCGGGCAGGGCCTGGGGTTCTGGCCACTGGAATCCATCAATGACGGGTACGATGTTCTTGCCACAGTTCAGAGCAGTCACAATCTCCTAGGGGAAGAACAGGGGAAGAGGAGGACACGCAGGGCCCCATCCAGGGGCCTCGGGGCCAGGCTGAGCCCAAGGGGGGATGTTGGCCGTGAAGTCCACGTTGACTTCTCCCTCATCCCCTGTGGTATGATAAATCTACATTTGCCCTTTGCTCCAGGTTCTCGGTACAGAGCTCCTAAAGCCCTCTCGCATGACCTGGGGGGTGGGGCTGCGCCAAATAGCTTCAGGATGGGGGCTGGTGGCCAGGAAGACTAAGCTGTGATTAGAGGGTTGGAACTTTCAGTGCCCCCCTCACCTCCAGGGAGGGGAGAGGGGCTGGAGACTGAGTTCACTCACCAATGACTTAATCACGCCTACATAATGAGACCTCCATAAAACCCCTAAGGACTGGTAGGTTGGTGAACACATCTAGGTGTGGAGAGGGTGGCCCGGAGAGGGCATGGAAGCCCTGCCCACGGTCCCACCCCCGCTTACTTTGCCCTGTGCACCTCTTCCATTTGGATGTTCCTGAGTTGTATCTTTTAAAATGAACTGGTAATAGTTAAGTAAAGTGCTTTCCTGAATTCTGCATGTCATTCTAGCAAATTATTGAACCTGAGCGGGGTGGTCATAGGAACCCCTGCATTTGTAGCTGAGTCAGACAGCAGAGCAGGTGGCCTGGGCCTTGCGACTGGGTCTGAAGTGAGGGCAGACTTGTGAGACTAATCCCTTAAACCATGGAGTCTGACACTGGCTCCCGGTGGGTAGTTAGTGTCAGAACTGAATTGAATTGTGGGACAGCCATTTGGTGCTGGTGAAATGGAGAACTGGTTGTTGGTATGGGAAAAAGCCCACACAAATTTGGTGTCAAGAAGCACATCACACCCCCTGCATCCAAACTGATCCATCCTGAGCCCTGCCAGTTGTAGTCCTTACTTATTTCTCAAATCCTCTCATTTTTCTCCACCTCCATCCCCACCAGTGCCCTGCTCCAACCCCGTATTATCGTTAGCCCCTACCAGGTCTCTTCTCATCCATTCTTGCCCCCTCTAATTCATTCTCCGTGTTGCCCCTTCACCTAGCTACTCTTTGCAAAATGCAAATCTGATCATGTCACCCCCCTCCCCTACTTAAAACTTCACGACTCTACATGGCTCTTCGAATAAAGTTCAAGGCTCTGTGTGGTTGGCCACAGCTCACTTCTCAAACTCTATCCCTGCGCTGTCCTCGCAGCCACACAGACCTTGCAGTCCCTTAGATTTGCTACCTCCCTCCCTCCACAGGGCCTTTGCACATGCTGCTTCCTCTGACTAGAACACTCTTCCCTGCCGTTTCACCTAGCTAATGCCAACTCATTTTTCTGATCTGAGCTCAATCAACTTTCCTAGGGAAGTCTTCCCTCACTTCCTGACCAGGTCAGATCCCCTGTTATAGGTTCTCATAGGCTCCACATCACATGCTACACTTACAAATTTAAATTCACTAATGAGTAATTTACTTAATATCTGCTTCCCCACCAGACACAAAGGTGGGAACCATGTCCAGGTTTCACTCACCTTGTATCTCAGGATCTTTCACAAAGCTTTGCCTGTAGTCTGCCTTTGCTAAATACTTAACAGCTGACTGGCTGAATGAATGAATGAATGAGACAGCATAGCGTTTAGGGGTTGTGCTCTGGAATCATCAGATCTGGGTTCACATCAAGTCTCTGACACAGGCTCTGTCATTTGAGGCAAAAACAACAGGCTCTCAAAGCCTCTGTTTTCTAATTTCTAAAACAGAGTTAATGATAGTCCCTATCTTACAGGATTGCTGGGAGAAATAACTGTGCTATCCCATGGCAAGTGGTTAGACTAGCAACTAGCATGTGGTGTATGCTTTAAATAAATAACAAGTGTTATTACTTCCTCCTCTGTAAAGTGGGGATAATAAAACTTACCGCACTAGGTTGTTCTGAGGATACTGCTATTAATGGGTGCTCTGGTAAGTGCTTATTGAATGTTTTTTTCCTTTCAAGGGGGTACCACAAGGATAGGACTTTTTGAGTGCAGTTCACTTGTGGTTTTCCATATTGATTGCCCACTAAATGTGGCTTTGAGGAAAGCAGTTTTAAAACCAGAGGCAATTCAGCACTAAAACCAAGGAGGGATGATGGAGCCTTTGGGACTGGTCCAAGGCAAAGGCTCCCACCACCTGCCCGCTCCTCCCTCTTTGCAGTTGGCTGGGACAGTGACGGACGCCAGGCACCCTCGTGGAGCAGAGCCTTCCTGGGGAAGGAATCTGCATAACTTCAACCCTGATTGGCTTCTGGGGCACCTCTTCATTTTACAACTGAGAAGAAGGAAGCCCAGCGAAGGGGAGGGCTTCCCCTCCCCTTCTTGCTCCCAAGTCACATACATGCCCAGCCCAGGAGGGGGCCAGGTCTCTGACTCAAGTATTCAGATTCCAAGTCCAAGGCTATTTCAACCAAGCCCTCTGCCTCTCTGCTGAGCACTTGGATGAATTCTGGCCCTGCAGCAATTTATGTGGGAACCTTTAGACATTTGTTTCATCCAGAATTACACAGAAGCAAAGACAGCACACTGCTCACTGTACCGATTCAGAGGCTGGCCAATCTGACCTAGTAAACCTAGTGGATACGTATGTTTCTCCCAGTCATCTCAGCTTCGTCAGAATCACTCATCTATTTAATCATTGATTCAATTATTCTAAAAACTCTTCAAGAGCCTACTTTGTATCATGCATGGTTCTAGGCATCAGGGATGCAGCATGAACAAGGCAAGGTCTGAGCTCTCACGGAGCTCACAGACACTCCTCTCTTTCTCTCAGAAGGCCGCCTGCCACCTGCTCTAAGCCATGATCCTCCAGGGTATCTCTCTGACCCAGCATCCCCTCCCCAAACCAAACCCAGTATTCAGACCCTCCTACATGGCCTCTGGTGCCTGACCCTCTTCCCCACTGTCAATCTGGGCTGCACCCTAGCGTGGAGGCTTCTCCCTAAAACCCACTGGTATGGCATCACTGCCCTCATGGGATCCCTTTTGCCAGTGCTTTCAGCACAGGTCTTCTCCCTGCCTTTAGGAACCCCATAACCTGGTTTCTTAGTTCTTATCCTGCCAGTGGTGTGCTGGTACATGTTTAACAACTAGATCTCCAGAGGGGGAAAAAACAACCAAACAAATAAAATCCTGATTTGTAGTTTTTACCAATTTCTTTAGTGTAACTACTCCCACCATGGCTGATTTCAAGCTACTGGCGTGACATCACTGAACTCGGAGTTGGGAAGAGATGCAGTCACTCTGGTGTCAGCTGATTCCAATCCTATCTCACCACTTCCCCTCCCACCCCTCAGATCTGAGTCATAGGACAAAGCTGGATCCTAAGAATGAGCATGGGCTTTGGAGTCAGATAGACAGGAGTTCAAAGCCCAGTTCTGATTTCTGCCCCAGCAGTGTGGCCATGGGAAAAATTATTCCACTTCTCCGAGCCTTGGTTTCTTCATCCGTAAAATGGAGAAGGCAATACCGGGGATAATGCAGGTTTCTGGCACCCTTCTCATGCCTACTTTTTTTTTTTGAGGTACACGGGCCTCTCACTGCTGTGGCCTCTCCCGTTGCGGAGCACAGGCTCCGGACGCGCAGGCTCAGCGGCCATGGCTCACGGGCCCAGCTGCTCCGCGGCATGTGGGATCTTCCCGGACCGGGGCACAAACCCGTGTCCCCTGCATCGGCAGGCGGACTGTCAACCACTGCGCCTCCAGGGAAGCCCCTCGTGCCTACTTTTGTTCTTTGCTCCTGCTGTTGCCCTGTCTGAGATGCCTTCTCTTCCACTGGCCTAAATTCTTAAGACTCTTCTCAAGTTCTGCGTCCTTCACGCAGCCTCCCCGGATTATTCCAGCCCTTGATGTTTTTTCCTTTCTCCATATTCTTATAGCAAGTAAGAGGTTCGCCAGCCCGGCTTTATGTTGACACCAATTTATGTATGATCTAGTCATTCTGGGCATATTCTTGTCTCCTTAGCTGCTTTAGGACAAGGGCCCTATCCATATGACAACTGCTTCCCTTTGCCCTGGCCCCAATTCATGCTGACTAACGAGTAATGATTAAATCCATTCTACAAGTTCCCAATAGGTTTTTTTTTTTTGTGGTACGAGGGCCTCTCACCGTTGTGGCCTCTCCCGTTGCAGAGCGCAGGCTCCGGACGCGCAGGCTCAGCGACCAGGGCTCACGGGCCCAGCCGCTCCGCGGCATGTGGGATCTTCCCGGACCGGGGCACGAACCCGCGTCCCCTGCATCGGCAGGCGGACTCCCAACCACTGCACCACCAGGGAAGCCCCCCAATAGGTTTTTACTATGCATTAGGCACTCAGGATACAATGGGGAATTAAACAGTGGTAGTACTCACAATAATTATATTAATAATAGTTAATTGCTGCCATCGTTCAGCAGTTCTTATGTGCCAGGCATTCTGCTAAGCACTTCACAAATTTTACCTCTTTTAATCTTTCTAACAATATCCTAGGGAGTCAGGTACTATAACTATCCCACTTTCCAGTGATAAACATGAAACTCATTAGGGTTAAGTAACTTGCCCAAAGCCAGAGCCAGGATTTAAACTCACAGCTTTGTGCTCTTAACCATTCCACTGTGCCTGTCACTATGCTCTCCTGCCCCCCTTCCCTCACAGAGGTTATTTTGCAAAGCGTGTTCATCCCTCTCTGACCCTCACAACAATTCTACGAGATGAATAGGACAGGTAAGTTACCCCCATTTTGTAGATGAGAAAACTGGGGCTCGGAGAGCCTAAGTTGCTCAAGTCCTATTACAGTCAGAGCCATGGCTCCTGACTTCCAGCTGGGCTATGGAGGTTGCTGGAGTATATGCAGGTGAGAAAGAATGAAACGGGGACCTTGTGCCCTGGGCCACAGGCCAATGCTGGGACCACAGAGGCCAGCACTTACCTTGTGCACCCAGTCCTTGCAGTCGTGGTCCTGCATGCACTTGTCCAGAGCCCCAGCCGACAAAACCAGCACAAAATTGCGGGCACCCATGATACTCTGGATGAGCTTGTCCTCGAACTTGCCCGCTTCCAGCTTCTCCACATCAATGAAGACACTGAAGCCATGCAGCTGCAGGTGCACCTTCAGGAGGCTGCAAGGAGGTCCTGTGTCACTGCCATGGCCTCCCCACAAGGCCCCAGGCAGCCTGCCTGTCCGCCCCTCCTCACCTGGCGAGCTGGGAGCCTGAGTTCCGGCGGTAGCTGATGAAGACGTCTGGAGTGTCCCCGCAGGGCTTGCAGCCGGTGCAGGGCAGCGGGGAGTGTAGCATTTCTGAAGCAGACAAGAGACGGCTTGGTGAGGGTGGGCATCATCTCCTGCACACCCAGTCCTCTCAGCCCAGCCCAGGCAGGGTGGCTTGCTCCAAAAAGGGTCAGACAGGTGGAGAGATGGGGCCTACAGGAAGGCAGGCTGCAAACTATCAGTGAGGCCCTCTCAGGAGGCAGGCATTGTGTTCTGGGGACACCTCCAGCACTGCCCTCTCTCTAGAACTCCAGACCTGCACAGCCAGCTGCCCACAGGTACTCCAAACCCAACCCATCCCAAATCCTCCCCAGACCCCACTTCTTCCTAGTCTCCCACCAAAGCCAGAAACCTGGGTATCAGCCTCAACTCCTGCCTCTCATTCATTCATTCAACAAATATTTACTAAGTGCTTTCTGGGTGCCAGGCACTATTCTTAGTGCTTGGGATACAGCAATGAACAAAACAAACCCTGCCCTCATGGAGCTGACATTCAATGCTCAGGGTCAGGCACCATGCTCTGTGGATTCTACCCACTAACGTCCTGGACTCCAGCCTCAGGGCCGTCCCTGTGTCCAGGCCCCCAACTCCAGCGTCCTCAGTGGTCTCTTCAGATCCACAGCTGCCCAGTCTAATCTGTTTGCTGCAGGCACCAGAGAGCTCTGCTTAAAATCCAAATCTGAGTGTGTCATTGCCCCCACTTCAAAACTGTGCATGGCTCCCTACTCCCTACAGGAGGCGTTTGTAAGCTATTTTTGCTGTAGCACCCTCTTGTTTTTAAAAAATTAAATCTTGGGGATTTATTGGGAGCTGCAATGTAAAAATGAAAGAAGTTAATCTGCTTTGGTTGAAGCAAAAGAATGGGGCCAAAGCCCAGTCCCTTGTCCCCTGTGGGAGCTTAGTACATACTTATTGAATGCACGCATGCATGAAAAGAACCCATCTTATAATATTCCGACAAGTCACAGACGTTTGTCTCTTTACGAGGTATAAAGGCAGAGGTTGAGATCCCAGTTCTGTCATTTAATGACTTATAACCTTACAAAATGAATTTAAATCTCAGTTTCATCATCTGTAAAATTAACACCCATGATGGAACTGTCCTTTATCTTTGATTATGATGATGGTTACACGGGGGTATACATTCAAAACTGTTCAAACTGGACACTTTTAAGTTAAATTATACCACTTTTATTCTTTAAAAAGTTTTAAAAGCTGACTTTAAAAAAACAAACACCCGCTGCACAGAATGGATGTAGAGATTAATGAGATAATATCTGTTAAAAGCTTAATCAGGACCTGGCCTCTAGTAATTGACAATAAATATTAGCCAAATAGTAAATTAGTAAATTAAATTAATAAATCAAGAGGGCTGCTAGAGCCCTAGGATGCACTCTGCTCTCACGGCCTCCCTAAAGCACCCATACTTTGTCAGCTGTGGACTAACAGGATAAGCCCTCTGTCTTCCCGCCCACATCCCCTGTACCCAGCCCCCATGCTGTCTCACCTCCACACTTGCATGTACGGCTCCCGCTGCCTGGGCTGCTCTTCCTGCCGCCGCCACTCTTTGCCCACCCCCAACACATCCTTCAAGACCTGGTCAGGCATCCTCCCCTCTCCAAAGCCTAGGCCTGGGCGGACAGGGTAGGTGGTGCTTCCTCTAGGCTCCCACTGGAGTCCTGGGCATGCCAGCTCCGGCAGCCACGTGCCTGGTTATACATCTGCCTTCCTGCCACCCTCCTACCCACCTCAGACTGGGAACTTCTTGAGGGCAAAGTGCAACGTATTCATCTCTGCATCCTCAGAGCCCAGTGCAGCACAGCCTACGTGCTCAATCAACCCGCAGTGAGGCTCTGAGCACCCCCCACCATGTGTCTCCCCTCACCCCTCCAGGGCAGGGGCAGGGGCAGGGGTAGGGGCCCAGGTGGGCAGGCTGACCTCTAGCGGCCGTGAGGATGCGGGCGCGGTGCACGCCCAGGTGGATGCCGCAGTCCTCCAGGAGCTGCTGCTCTGACACTCGGTGCAGCAGGGAGCGGTCCAGGCCGCAGTTGACCAGGCCATACGTGTATTGACGGAAGCGCGGGTCCAGGCTGCCCAGCCAGTCAGCCAGGTTGCTGCGGTCGCATGTAGCGTAGTTGGCGAAGGTCTTGAGCTCTGTGAGCTCCCTAAAGAATCTGCACCCAAGGGACGAGAGGATGCTGAGATCTTGACTGGGCACTGGCTAGAGGAGGAGGGGGCGTTTAGTTAGACCTGCCCGGGTGGGGGGAGTATGCGGGCTGGAGGCTCCGTACCTCTTGCGGGTGAGGCCTGACTTCATGCCCAGGTCGGTCTGGAGTTCCTCATCCGTGAGCCGCAGAAGCAGGTCTCCATCCACCTGCTGCTCCTGGAGGAGGGGTCACATGTAAGGAAAGGCTCCCATCCTCAGCATTTGCACCCCACCCAGCACAAGGTCAAGAGCAGGGACCTGGAGATGGCGGTGGGGGAGGCGGATGGGCCCCAGATGAGAACCGAATGACCCTGAAAAACACTGAGTACAGGCTCCCCACCCCCAAAAGTCCACCCTGGTGCCGCTGGCGAGCTGCGCCGGGATGGGGCGCGGTCGCCTGTGTGCAGGGCGCCCCTAGCGGCCACGCGGCCCTCGGGGATGCGCCTGCTCCGACTGCCGGCCGGCGACCCCGGGCGGCTCTACCCGGAAGCTCTCGCAGTACTGGGAGAAGCCGATCTGCTGCAGCCATGTCTGGACCTCGGCTTCCTTCCAGCTGGCCACGCTGGGCAGGATGGGCCGCGGCACCTCCTCGCCCAGCAGGCGCAGCGCGCGCTTCGCCAGCGCCGACGTGGTACCATTAGTGGAGTAGGAGACCAGGCGTTTCAGGCTCTGGATGGCACCTATGTCGCTGAATACCTGGGGAAGTGCGGAGAGGATGTCTTGGACCCACCAATTCACCAGCCGCCCCCAAACGTGCCTGGTCCCTCCCCTCGCCTCTTCTCCCCGCTGAAAACCCCACCATCTGCCCTCGCCCTGCCTTCATCCAACAGATCACCAGGTCCTGTGGATTCCCCCTCCAGGAGCTCCTTCAACTCTTGACCAGGTAAGTCCCTCTCATGCCTCCCCTCTACAGCCTCCATCTGCCCCCGAAATCAAGTTGAGTTCTCAGTATGGCTGCCAGGCCTGGCACAGTGCAGCCCCTGCCCACCAATCCCCGCTCTACTCCCCCTTCACCAAGCCACCCACCCATGGAGGCTCTCCCACCTCTGGGCCTCTACCTGTGGTGTTTCCAGACGCTTAGTTCTTCTAGCCTGCTTGTGGGAATCCTACTCATCCATTGGATCCAAATTGATTGGCACCTCCAACATGCAGCCTGCTTTGATTGCCCCACAGCTTGGCCCATACCTCCAGTTAGGCCTTGTGCTACACTCTGAATGCTACTGTTGTTAATTGATAATGCAATTTCTACTGGACTGTAAGCTGAGGTCATGTCTTAGTCACCCCTGGAGTCCCATAACTGGCACACTGCAGGGCACAGAGTGAGGGCTCACTATGTCTATACTGAACTGCGCTCACTTGGCCTTGCTGGGAAAGAGGTGCCAGAGCTGGTGGTCATGGCTGCTGCCAAGACCCACTCCTTGGGGTCCTCACTCCCTACTTCCCTTTAAATCCCTCCTCCCAAAACAGAATGGCCTGTTTTGTAAAGCCAGTCCTCCCATGGCCCAACTCTGGGGTGCAGAGAGGAGAATCAAAAGCTCCTAGAACATTGGACCTTGGAAGAGGCCTCAAAGACCCCCTAAACACAACAGTCTCTTCTGCATCTATGGGGACACACGTGATGGGTGACAGTCACCTGTGAGACACGCTCCTCTGATGACCCCTGTCCAGCCCCAGATGACCACTGTCGTACAGATAGGGTGGTCCATGCAGTGTGCACCGCTCCCTGTGCACCAGCGGTCACTAACCCCCCAAAACCTCCAGAGGAATACAAAGGAGGGAGAGTGACATTATTGGATAATCTTAATTCTGTAATATTTAAAAAACGAACACCAGAAACTTTCGATAATTTAACTATTACTAGTCTCACATCCAGGGTAAGAACTGCTGCTGTGGTCCACTCCTTCCATTTTCCAGAGGTCAAAAGTGAGGCATATAGGGACTTCCCTCGTGGCAAAGAGGATGACTCCGCGTTCCCAGTGCAGGGGGCCCGGGTTTGATCCCTGGTCAGTGAACTAGAACCCACATGCATGCCGCAACTGAGAGTTTGCATGCCACAACTAAGGAGCTCACAAGCCGCAACTAAGGAGCCTGCCTGCTGCAACTAACACCCAGCGCAACCAAAAAAAAAAAAAAAAGAAAATCCCACATTAAAAAAAAAAAAAAAGTGAGGCACATAAAGGCCCAGAGAGGGGAAGCCAGGTACCCACAGTCACACAGCAATTTAAAGCAGAGGGCAAAGGCTGCAGATCAGGTCCTGAGATTGGGGACCCTTTGGGACTCGGGTGGGAGTTATCTAGCTGACACATGGATGTTCTGCCTCTGTTTACTCCATCTCCTTTCTGGACTGCAGACCCAAATGACAGAATGGCCCACTGGAGCACCCCAGGTTGTCAGCCCTCAGGCACTTCAAACTCCATCTGTCCCATTGAACTCACTTTCTCTCCACCCTCAAACTATCTCACCCAGTTCACCTTATCTCAGTACCAGGTGCCACCATCCACTGGGTTGCCTATGTCCAAAGCCAGGAGTATCCTCAGCTACTCGCTCTCCTTCACCCAGCCACCCACCAGGTTCTAACTGTGTCTCTTCAGTACCTCTGGAATCTGCTTCTCTCTGCCTCTGCTGTCATACCCTGGTCCTTGCCTCCACCATCGCAGCTGCCCCCTGCCATGGCCTTCTATCTGACCCGCCTGCCTGCAGCCTCACCCTTGCCTCTACCCCATCTCCATGCAGCGGTCAGGGTGATCTTTGTAGAACACAGAGATCATCATACAGAGATGTATGTCCCCTACATAAAACCTTGGTCTTGCCTTCGAGGCCAGAATGATGGGTCCCTCATCTTTCTCCTTATTTCACCTCTCATGTCTATTTCAAGTCCTAGTTTTTTGTTTGTTTGTTTTTGTTTTGTTTGTTGTTTTGTTTTGTTTTTGGCTGTGCCACCAGCACGCGGGATCTTAGTTCCCCGACCCGAGATCAAACCCGTGTCCCCTACGGTGGAAGCGTGGAGTCTTAACGAATGGACCGCCAGGGAAGTCCCTCAAGTCCCAGCTGAATGTCATTTCCTCTGGGGCGCCTTCCCAGTTTCTCTCTAACCCCCTCCCCACCCAACCCCACACCCGCACCCACCTTGGTCTTGCCCTGCAGACTCTTGATGACAGCCTCGGCACAGAGATAGAAAGCCCCGATGCACTGCGCCTCCAAGCGCGACGAGTCAAGCAGCGGCACGAGGCGCTGCAGGTCGTCAGGCCCGCGGCCCTGGCTGGTGTCACTGGCGTCCACCAGGCAGCGGGCGAAGCGGCCGGGGTCCAGCGAGGCCACTAGCGGCTCCACGAGGGCCAGCGTGCCCGAGCGCTCCACCTCGCGCTCCACCTCCTTGTTGGTGGCCAGCACCGCCACGGCGAGGCAGGCGTGCAGTCGGAGCAGCTCGTCCTCGGAGAAGGCGAGCGGGAAGAGCCACTCGGCGGCGCGCTTCTCCACCATGCGCCGCTGCGCCGCCTGGCCCCCGTGCAGAGCGCAGTTGGCCAGCGCCAGCGCGCAGTGGCGGAGCAGCGGCGGGTCGGTGCGGCGGCACCAGTACAGCACCGCGTCCAGGCCGCCGGCCGCCACCAGCCGCTGGCACGTCTCTTCCGAGTGCTTGAACATGTGCTCCAAAATGCCGGCCACGCTCCGCGCCAGCTCCACCGGCTCCCGCTCCTTTGCCAGGTTCAGGATCACTCCCAGCCCGATGCGCGCCACTCGGTCCCTGCCCAAGGAAAGCGGGAGGGAGGAGGTTGAGGTGCCGCAGCCCGGGGTGCATATCTTAACCCAGGGCCTCGTTACTTATGCTTTCTGGGCCTCGCTAGCGTCAAATAGGACATGAGTCTGGTCCTCCCTGCCTCCTCCACCTCCCTCATCTTCTGCCCTGGGACAACTAGACTCCTCTGATTATAAGGGTGCTCCATCCTGACCACACTCATTTCTTCCCAGACACCCTTCCCTAGAGAAGCAGCATGTGTAGTGGTTAAGAATTCTAGCTCTAGAGCAGATCTCCTGGGTCCTGGTTTCTTCTCTACCATTTTCTAGCTGTGGGACCTTGGGTACCTTCCTTTATCTTTATTGGTTTCCTCATCTCATAAATAGGATAAAGTGAATACCCACCCCATAGAGTTATTACGAGAACTAATGTAAAAATGCATGTAAAGTGCTTGGCATAGTTCCTGGCACATAGGAAAGACTCAATAAATGTTCATTTCATCAAAATTCTCTTCACTCTATGCTGTGTGACTGGGGTGTATTCATTCATTCAAAACACCATTTATTGAGGACTTACTGTGTGCCAGGCACTGCAATAGGGGCTGAAGTTAAACAGTGCCTAAGAGAGACTGGAGCTAATAACAGCTAATATGGAGACAAACAGTAAGCAAGTAAACAGCGAATGAACAGGATAATAGTTATCTGACCAAAATGATAGCAAAACCAGGTGCTGTGATGGAGAGTGCCTGGGTGGAGGGATATGTCTGAGGAAGTGACATCTGCGAGTTAAATGTCCAGAGACCCCTGCTTGCAAGTATCCGGAAGGAGAGCATAATAGGCAGAGAGAACAGCAAGGACAAAAGCCCCGAGGGCTGATGAGCCTGGCACGTTCCAGGAAGAGAAAGAAAGCCAGAGATGTTTGCGGTGTCTAAAACAAACAAGGAAAAGTATAAAATCAACGAGGGATTCATATATAGAGTATATAAATACATATTCAAATCAACAAGCAAAAGGCAGTAAATCCAACAGAAAAGGGGCGAAGGACACAAACCGGCAATTTACAAAAGGAAATTCAAAACGTTAACAAGCAAATAGAGACAGTCTAATTCATTAGTAATCAGAGAAATAAAAATTAAACCAGCTGTCACTTTACACCCATTAAATGGGCAAAAAGCAGAAACTATTTCAAGTGGTTGAGGTGGGAGTTTCAAGGGAAGGGTGAGGAAAGAGTTCCTGGGGGCCGTTTGAGCCATCTCAAAGCATTTGGGCTTCATCTTGATGGCAAATGGGGAGTCACTGAAGGGCTTCAGGAAGGGGAGTGACCTGGTAACACATGGGTTTTAGGAAACTCGCTCTGGCTGCTGTGGGGAGGACAGGTCAAAGGGAGAGAGCTTGGAGGCCAAGAGAGCAGACAGGAGAGTTGCCACACTCCAGGCAGAGGTGAAAGTGTCCTGTCTTCCTGACCTCCACCAATGATGTCCCTCAACGACTTATAGGCCCAGCCAGCTATGGAGTCCTTGCCCAGTGAGCACCACAGTGACCACAGTGCTTATGACTTTGTGTCCACTGCAGGGCCCAGCTGAGCCCAGAACAGCTTTGCTGAGCTCATCACTGAACTTCTCTGCAGCCCAAAGGAACAGATGGGTTCTAATCATCCACTCGGGCAGACGGCACTGCAGTTTTTCCTTTAACCAAGGAGAAAGCCAAGGCTCAGAGAGGTTACATGGCATGCCCAGGTTACACAGCTGGTGAGAGGCATAGCTGGGATTTGAACTCACATCTGTCTGTCTCCAGGGCTCAAGATCCTTCGTCTGCACTTTGTGCTTCCAGAACAATCTGACTATATATACTCCAAGAATATCAGAACCAGGAAGTGCTTAAGAAGTCATCTAATCCAACAACACCCCGCCTGAGGCTCAGTGAAGGGAAGGACATGTTCAGGAACATCAGTTCAGAAAGAGGACTTTATTCACATTTCTTTTCTTTTCTTTTTTTTTTTTTTTTTGGCCACGAGGCTTGCAGGATCTCAGTTCCCCGACCAGGGATCAAACCCAGGCCATGGCGCTGAAAGCCCGGAATCCTAACCACTAGGCCACCAGGGAACTGTGCAATTGTGCATCTCTTGAACCCCAGCCCTCACCTTTCCCTATGCACTTGGCACCTTTATAGAGTTGAACTCTGTGCTGGTTGTGAGATTTATTCACTCAATTCCCAATCCTTCTACAGTCGGAGAGGCTGTGAGTCTGGGTTCAAATCACACCTCCGAAAGAGGGGTAAATTGTCCGTATATACACATACATAAGCCCGTATATGTAATATACACATACATAAGCCCGTATATGTAATACACACATACATAAGCCCGTATATATAATATACACATACATAAGCCCGTATATGTAATACACACATACATAAGCCCGTATATGTAATATACACATATATGCAAGTGCTTGTATATGCAGAGACTCTCTCTGGAAAGACGTACAAGAAACTTGTTTCACCGGTTTGCCTCCAGTGAACAGAAAGGAGAATGTTTAAGTGTGTATCTTTTTTGTACTTTGCACTTGAATTTATGTGCAATAGTTGTTTTTTTTTTTCCTTTTCCTTTCTTTCTTTTAAAAACCTGTCGCCTCCACTTATTCACTGTGTATTCTTGGGAAAGACATTTAACCTCATTATGGCCTCCTGAAGGGGGCGGGCTGTGACTTTAGAGGGCTAGCAGTAAGAGTGTGGTGGGACCAGGCTCAGAGGGCCCTACCCTGTTGGGCTTCTCCTGGTATTCGAGGGTCAGTGAAGCTGTGACCTAGGCTCCCGGGCAGCGAGTGTGGCAGCACCCAGGGAAGAAGAGAGCTGCAGGAAAGGGAATGGCAAAAGGAATGGGTGCACTGATGGAAGAACCTTCTTTATGAGGAAGTTGGTTGGTGGAGGAAGGAAAAAATTTCATAGACACAAATTCTCAGTGTGTCACCACCCTCTTCCCTTCTTGCCCTCCCAGCCTCCTCTTGGAGCAGTGCAGAGGTGTGGGGAGATTATGCCTTTCTCCGGGAGGATTTTGATGGGGACCTGGCTCGCTGGGTTCTGTCCTTGGTCCTGAAGTGATGCCAACACCAGCACGTTGTTTCTTGGGACCAGAGACACCGGTTAGTGTGCCTCCTTTCTCAGTAATTCTGAACCAGGTGAGGATTGTTATTTTCAACCTTGAAAGATATCAGTTCTATTTGCATCTTGCAGCCCTCCTCTTCTTAGGGTGTTGGCTGCACCCATCCTCCAGGAGTTCTAGTTATAGCTGCCCTATCCCACATACCAGGCCTACAGGACACGCCCTTCAATGCTAGCCCACCACATCCAGTGAGCACCCACTCCATTTGCTAGCCCTCCACGTTCACAGCCCATCCCAACAGGACACCTGTTGTTAGACAGAAGATTAATGACTTACTGAACAAGCAGAATCCTAACTTGGCCTCCCAACTTAAATTGCTTCATTCATGCACTTTTGAAAATTGTATCATTTCCACCATCCACAAGGTTGTCTTTACTTTTTGAAAAGGGCAAGGAAAACGCCCCTAATCCATGCCCATCACACCTTTGAGAGCTTCGTAAATGGAAAGTGACCCTTCCAAAACCCTTCTAAACCTGAAGGGCCCGAGAATTCAGCATGAGACTGGAGTGTGACAGCCTGGTCTCCTCCGGCATTAGCGGGGCAAGGAAGTGGGTCAGTGGTCCTCATATTCCAGGGGAGATCCCAAGAGGCAGGGAAGCATAGCAACCAGGCTTCAGTTGGACCCCACCTACTGTATCTTGGCACGTGTGGGGAAGATGTAGGGAACACATACTCTGGCCCCTGCCTAGCTCCACACCTCAGTTTTCTCTTCCCCCACCATCCATCCCAACTGAAAACACCCATCCTGTTTCCCATGAGCAGGCACAGCATAAGATCATGTCTGTCCTGTTACATGAAGCAAAATGAAAAAGGAGGAAGCAGGAAGTGGACGCTGGGGGTGGCATGAAGGCAGCAGGTAACCTTAGGTCAGCACTCATTTCAGCCTGGGGGAAGAGGAAAGGGGTCCCCCCTCCTATTTTCTGAGCAATGTGTTGTCTTTCTCTTTTAGTGGGAGTGAGACGGTATGGCAGAGCGAAGGTAGCACGGAAGGATATCCAGGCCCATCGGGAGGAGGGCTGTGGGTTTAGAGGGCTTTGGCAATGGGATCCCAGCTCCATCCTCAGAACCAGGGAGAGATTCCTGTCCTGCTACTCCATTCCTCCCCTCTCTCATTTCTCACCCCACCAGCTCTGGGAGTGAATCCTGGCTGCACCATTAGTTCACTGTGTGACGCTGGGCAAGTCACTAAACTTTCCCAGGGCTCAGTTTCCTCATCTGTAAAATGGACACGCTGGTCCCCAACAGGGATATAATGCAGGGTTTTGTGAGGTGAGGCAGGAAAGGCACAGAGCGAGGCACACGGGAGACCGAGGCACTCGACCGCCCCTGCGACCCTACACCACGCGGCGCTCTCCGCCCCAGCCCGGCCCCCTCACCGGTTCTCTGCCACCAGGATCTGCTCCAGCAGGCGGGCAGCCTGCACGCGCGTCTCCAGCTCCGGCGCCTGGAGCAGGCGCAGCAGCAGGTCCAGACCACCGTCCAGGCGGATGGCGTCGCACAGACCCTGGGCTACCTCGCGGCCCATGGCTGGTAGCAGCCAGGCCTCCTCCACCAGCTGGAAGACCTCGGCTAGGCTGGCTCCCACGGCCCGCACGCCGCCCGCCTGCTTCAGAGCCGACAGCGCCTGCTGAAGCTCGGGCAGCGCGCGCTCCAGGGCGCCCTGCACCTCGGTGCTCGCCCCTGGCGACACCTCGCGGGGCCCGCGGCCGCCCGCCGCCCACCACGGCCCGGCGCCGCCG